TTCTAGTTTCCAAAAAAAGAAGAAGAAGCAGAGCAGTCTTTCTACTACAAGAGCTTAAGTTCCATTGTTTCCTAATTTTTTGTTTTAAAATTATCCATTCGAAGAACCCACCACTTGTCATCATAACAAGCTAAATGTCCATCGGCAATCTTACCTAATTATATAGTATTGAAAAGAATGAGACTTTCTGCCGATTTGAACAACGCTATGTGTACGATTGCAATCTTGCTTTAGCAATGTTATCTTTTTTTGCAAGAGTTTGCTAAATGGGAATGTTTTAAAATCATCTATAAAAAGAATTGTAAAAGGATTGCTCAGATGTTTCTGCTATGATGAGAAACACTGAAATGTAAACTCCTTTCTGTTATAATAGCTTTTTTTTGGGCATAGAGACTTTACTGATTTTTGGTACTCCCATAAACCGAAAGTTTGTACACTATTTAAACTTTTTGTTATTTATCCATTTTTTGGAAATGTCTCTTTAACAGCTAAAATACTCCTATAGTCAGCATCACCTTGCTTTTTCAGTAGATACTTTTATCATTTATGTAAAACGATACAACAAAACGACTGGGTAAGATGACTATTGAAATTTTTCTTTTGGTAGAATTCGTGATAAATGAATTAACGATCATCCATAAGGGAATAGATATGAGACATTGAGACAAACTATATAAATACCTATCTACAAGGTGTATCAAAACAACAATGTCTAGGAAAATCAATCATAGCAAGGAGCAATCTATCTCTGGTCAGAATCTTCTTTAAACGCTCCGTCAACTTATTAACGAGCGTCCTACTTATCTAATAATATGACCCTTTTAAAGAAGCAATTCAAAGGCAAATAATAAAGACAACCATGACAGATGGGTAGAACTAGTCCCTGGATTTCTTTTGCATGCTATTCTGAGAAATGTCTTTTATGTTCCAAATCTGATCACAAACCTACAATTCGTCTCTTAAAAAAGAGTATCTTCCTAAATGAAAACGGACATAACTAAAGTGCCCAAAAATAAAAGGAATAGGATTCGACTAAGAATCTAGTAAGGTTCCTACAAACTATCTTAAAAATGTGAACCCAAGGGCTGATATCAACAAGAGCCTAAAGGACCAAGATTCTGACTGCAGGTATGCACGAAAAATATTCTAAAACGACACTCAATAAAAATCTGCTGATTTACGAGAGAGATGAAAGGTTCACGACCTTGAGTTATTTGGAATCCATTGCCTTGGTTATCTCCTCGAAACACAAACAGCGAATTTCCAAGGAATACCAGAGTTTAAACAACGATATCTCTTGAATGGAATATATAAAAGTAACAGAGGTATTCAATATTGGACAATCCAAAAAGACAATACAAGCCAAGTGGAGCTCAACGTCTCAAAGGAAAAGGTGGGACTGTTACAATAGAAACAATTCAAAGCTTGAAATATGTTCAAAGAGAGGTTTAAATTCCGAAATTTCATTTTTACAACTTTAAACCCTCGATAGGTTTGAAGTGGCTAAAGTGTCATAAACCAACTTAACGATATCCAAAGTAACTGTTTAGTCACCCTGGAAACTCTTGAAAAACATTATCAATTTGTCCAATTTACAATTTGATTTTGATGGAACTGTGCAAATGAGCTCCAATTCTGATGTGTTTTGGTTTGATCTAGTGACAAATAAACCCTTTCCAAACATATGTAGGAATATATTGTTACTGTTGTCTATTTACTTGTTATCAGAGAAATATTCAGAATTCAATATATTTTGGACAGGAAGTGGGTTCTTGTATTACATACACCCTTTTATTAGACTTCAAAAGATTCTGAAATGAGTTGATTATTATTGCCGTAGTAGTCCAAGCTACAAACGATTTCTTTGGAAAGGATAGGCTTCGCAAGAATAGAATATTCCCTCGTCAATAGAGAGTCAACTATAGAACAAGTTTTAGATGCTTTTGATGTTGCCGTTCCTAGGACTTCAAGGTGTATCCCAAGGTGAGCGACCAAACATTTGTTGCGCACCAGAAATGTATGAAAGCAGAAAAGGCAAGTTTGATGAGAATTTCCAAAGTTTCTCTTTTTGGCCGACAAAGTTAACTTGCTGCATTGTTTGAACTTGAAGAATACGTTTCCTGGTTTTGCAAAGGCAGAGAGTGTAGGATAACGTGCACTGGACCCTCTTCTTAACGGAACTTTATATACGTCGTCGAGTTAACCCTTGTCTATTGAACAAAGGGAACTTGTTTTGAAACGACATTTTGTGGTTGATTGGCGAGGAAACAATTGCCAAGTTTCCAAGTTGTTCAGAATGGCTATCTTAGGTTCCTTATTGCAAGAACAGCTACAAAAATTGGCTGCAGAAACCTTATGAATAATCGAAGAACTTTATTTATGTCTGTTTACTGACGCAACTGGAACTTCAGAAGGTTTCGAATTCTCCAAGTTTGAATAACTGATGCATATTCAAGAATCAACTCAAGAATACAACGTTTATCGAGGTCTTTTTAGACTTTCGTACGGTTTGTTGGTCAATTAGATATTATTATTACAAGACAACAAGATGTCGGTATTTCACATGTTAAGGTTGTCTTTTCTTCGTTTGGATCCCTTTTCAGAAGAGACTGTGAAGTTCTTTAAATAGAACCTACTCTAAAGCTTCTTTTTCCTAATCATCCAGAAGGACACGAATGGTTCTTCAAACAAATGCATGATTACACAGGAGGTGTTTATTAACACGTCATTTATGTTTCAAGGAAAGTGTTAAAACTCTTTCGAGATCCAGTGATCCTTCAGAGAATGAACTGAAAGCGAGAACTGAGCGAATTTCTCCTGAACCTTTGCTTTTTGTGAGACTTTCTCCTCATCAAAGGGAATAACTACTTTCACTGCTATGCTTCTTGTCAGTATTTTGGAATTTCGTATTTCTATGTTAGAGACTTTGTTAGGTTGATGTATCTATGGGACCTGATTCCAGATACTTTCTCGACGTGGCCAATCATTTTGGTTTTCTTTATAAAATGTGTTCGGAGAATTGACAAGGTCAAGAGTTTCAAGAATGTTTCCATCAAACAAGAGAAATGTTTGTCAAATTATTCTTTCTACAGATTGTTTTGTGGTGTCTTGAAACTGGATGTTGGGATATTCCTCCTTTTCGTTTTATTTGGAGTTTGTTTTCATCCATTAGTCGCTTTGAATCACCTCCTAGTCTTGCTCTCTAGTTTGAAATTATTTTTACTCTTGTTTTTTATGTTCAGTGGTGTTTCTGTTCAAGTTTGGTGATATGAGTCTATTACGGCATAGTCTTGTACAAGATGCACTTATAAAAGTTGGGAGATCGGAAGAGCATTAGGAATGAGTCATCTTACCAAATTTGTTTCAGCATTGAGTTCCACAGTGGTTGGTATTCATGATTTTGGCAAAGGAACTTATCATGTGGATCCTTGGAAACCATTTTTGGAAGCTCACTTATCAAATGGTGGAATATTTATTCCCACAAGATAAAACCCCAGTGAACCTGATGCTTTATTCGAGTCACACAAACTAGTGACAACTCTATCCTATTGGACAGTGTGAATCTTCTGTAGAGCAAACATTTATGGAAACTGAAACTAGTGGAAGTGACATCTTGATCAGAAAGAGGATCTATTTGGTGGGCTTTTTATTAAAGTGTTATCCAGTGTCAAATCCTGTTGTTGGGCTTTCTATGATCAAAGCAGAAAGTGTTAAATTTATGCATCCAGTCGCGTCTCAATTGGAAATGTAGAATCAAAATATATTGGCGATTCAGTTTATTGTAAGCAACAAGTATACTGCAGAAGTTTCCAAACAATTTGAGTTTGGTCAGAATTGGGATTGAAGAATGGAGTTTATTATGAGAACCATGGCACTCATATCATCTATAATTCTATTAACTTGTGGACGAAACTACAGCATATAAGGAAGGAATGGCTACGGATACCTTCTCAAGTTGTAGTGTGTGGTACCATCTCTCTCAAATCCTTTTTAGGTTACAAGGCTAGTGAAGATCTTGATAAAGTTTTTGGAGACAATTATTTATGGTTGGACCAACGCAGATCACTTTTCTGTCTGTTGGAAAATTCTCTTTTAGGCCTATTGAGTCGTATTCCACCTGAGCAATCTGAAAGGAATAGGCAATCAATCAGTGGAGAGAGTTAACCCATTTATGGATTGGAATGTGATACAAGGAAAAACTCGACAAGTTGAGGAAATGTTGCTGCAAGTTCTTTGTCTTCTCCAGTTGATGGGAATCCATTTTAACGAAAACGTTGTGGTCTTTTTGAAGAAGAAGTTGCATATTGTTTAACGAAAGTATGCTTCGTAGGAGTAAAAGATCTGGATGGCATTACGATAGATATTCTTTGGATGCGGCATCGATAATTTTTGTCAAAGATTGCGAACTATGTTAGGAGTACGAGAGTTTTTAGCAAAGTAGCTCTTATTGACTATTTTGTTGTATGTCTTTGGTTCCTGGGAAGTTGGAAGTCCCTTAGAAAGATTCTCAGCCCTACTAAAGATGGATAGTTTGGGTTTTTGAGTGACATGGAGGACCTATGTTGGAAATGATGATAAGTTACTATCCTTGTCATTCTTACAAGAAATATTTTGCTCATGTCTCACACAAAGTACTATTAATCTTATCGCATTGTTCGTTTATTTAAAATGTAAACGTGTCATTGAGTACAAGGCACTGTCGTCTTTTCATTCTGTTGTTTAAAAATATTTATAACTGCAATGTCGTGTGACAATCACTAAAAAGCAATGCCTTAACTGCTTTCAGACCAACTCGGTGTAGTGACAACCAAAAAATTCTGAATGGATCTCAACAGGACAGTACTTACTGCAGCTTATTTTTCTTACTGAGAAAAGACTCTTCTTCGTTTCAACGACTTCAAACATAGAAGTGCTTTGTCATGAGAACCCAATAATAAAATAGTTGAGTAGAATTTGTTCAGTTTCTTGGATTCTGTGTAATAATATTATGTAACCTTGCAAAGGAGTGTAATGATAGTTGACAGACTGCAATCTTGTTCTGGAGAGAAAGCCAATGAGGAGAGTATGTTGTGCCGGGACCAAAGAAACGTTGAAGAAAATATTCCTTCCATAAGGCAGGTTCCATTCTTACTGAGTGAATTTACAGTCCCTGTTCCCATTTTCTCTTCAAATAGTAAGAGAACTGAAGATATAGCGACAATTGGTCTTTACCAGAATCCGAAACGACAGTGTCCCTATCTCCTTTTGATATACCTCAGAAAGTAGATACATCTCTTGCCGTCCCTACTGCAAATCTTGCGTATCAAAGCGAGCTTTTGGAGAATTGTCGGATACCAAGGCATCGATCTTTCTTTATAGTTCCGAGAATTTTTCAAATGCTGACAAAGGTAGATGACGTGAGTACTTGACGTACTCAGGGACAGTCAAAAAATGTTTGCATACTTTTTTGAGACGAAACACACTGTACTATCCTTTATCTCTGGACAGAGATGATTTGGATCAGACAACCTTAAATGTGGTATCGTATCAAGAAAGCCGCAATCTATGAATGAAGTTATTCGGACTTGTCAACATGTGAATCAGAACTCTTCTATTGACGACTCATTATTTGTTACTGTCCTTTGATTCAATAAATTTAGTAACTAATTCACTAACTTTGATTATCCACGGACTTTTTCTGATCTGCCAAGAAGTGTTTTTTGAAACTATAGAGCAACTATTATGTAAAAAAGATTTTGGTTGAGGTAGATTATTAAACAGACGTTGCGATTTTAAAAAAGTGTTGAATAACTATACATTTTTAACGGATTGTATTTTATATCACTCTTAAATGCCTTATGACATATGAACTCTCGAAGATAGAATGCAGTGAACTTGCTATACTGGTTGTCAGAGTATTTTTGACTTGCTTCTTGAAGAAAGTTCGGAATCTTTACATATCTTTCACGCTACCACCAGACAATTGAAGGAATCTTTGTTTTGTGAAATTAATTGGGTCCAGCGGATTGGTACTATGTCTTCCTGTCCTCCAGCGGCTTCCTTTTTTGGTTTTATCGGTGCAGCAAGTGCTCTTGTGTTTTCAAGTGAGCTTAAGTTGAAGCAGTTTGTTTACCTGCTTTTGTTCAACTTGTCTATTAGATTTAGGTGCAGCGTATGGCACAGCTAAGAGTGGCGTTGGTGTTGCTTCGATGGGAGTGATGCGACCCGAACTGGTTATGCGATCAATAATTCCAGTAGTAATGGCTGGCGTACTTGGCATATATGGCCTCATCGTTGCAGTAATTTTGGTTGGACAAAGTATGTTTTGTGTTGGCTATACAAGTTGTTTGTTTGACTCTGTTAGTTGCTGAAACGAACTATCCTTACTTTCTTGGTTTTGCACATCTTGCTTCTGGATTAGCGAACGGTCTCAGTGGTCTCGCAGCTGGAATTTGCATAGGTGAGAATCAGTGCCTGTTTCGCTATGTGTTGTTTAGAATATTCTAGGAATAGTTGGCGACGCAGGAGTTCGAGCTACAGCTCAACAGCCAAAATTATTTGTTGGAATGATCCTTATCCTCATTTTCGCCGAGGCTCTTGCTCTTTATGGCTTGATCGTGGCACTCATATTAAGTGGGAAGACCAGCTCTGCAGGGTGCTAGGAATATATGGTTTCTTCTCTTGTTATTTTCTGGTTGTCAAAGGATACATTGTTTAAATAAACGAATATATCGTCCGATTTCTTAGTCGCACACAATACCGTTGTGTGAAAAAGAAATATAAACGGCCCCTTCCGTCAGACAGAAAGAGTTCGCGTCGTTTTTTCAAGTGCGCACGAAGATGCTTGTTTTTAAATGGATGGCGGCATTCTTTAGAAACTCCTTTTTTCATCTGCAAGAAATAGTTCCTTGTTACGTGTAATTCGTTTCATGAGGAACAAGGTATTTTGGAAAGCAGCTTCAGAATAATTTTCTACATTCAGCATCGCTAACTGTTCAGAACAAAGTGAAAAGTGACGGTTAGGTTTACATACAGTCCACTTTTGTCGTAAATAACTTGCAGAGGTAGTTCTCCAATTTTATTTTCAACCCTGACTGACTGACTGGTTTTGACAAGCCTTCAAGGCTCCTCGAAGTTCAGTCTGTTTCCTAAAATGAAAGTGTTTTTTTGAAAGTGAACAACTCCATACATGAGCACCAACGTTAATAAACGGCAGAAAACCAATCTTTCAAGGGGAAAGTATTTCAAAGTAAGAAAATGAGTAAATGGAAAAACTGCTTGCAGACTTGGTGTAAATACGGACAAGATTCTGGAATTTTTAAGTTATTGACTATCTGTACAACTGACCAAAATAGAGAACAGTATCTTTATTCGTTTTTGTGCTTTACACCGACATGAGTCTAGATATAAGCAGTTCATAGACAGAGTGACGTTTAGTCTTCAGTTGAAAGGTTTCAGGGTGGACAGGAACAACAAAAATATTCCAGTCGATGGAGACTTCCTACAATACTTAACCGAATTCCAGTTTTATCTTGAAAAGTTTGGACAAAAAAAAGCTCGGGCTCCTAACGCAGATATACGAGCACACTTTACGAGACAAATATTTAAATCGAACGAAACAGAATAATGTGTTGTTTCTGATAGGTTATGATTCCACTACTAAATTTATTTGTTAAATGTAATGTTTGACAAATGGAAAGATCCGAAGGATTGGCGCGAAAACTCATATCCAATTTCTCTAGGCCGCCACGTAGAGCAGTTGTGATTGAGCCGAACAGTTGTATGGCTCATTTTCGACAAACAATTGCGCACACTGTCGCGCCACGTTGTACCAAGACGATGAGCATTGCCAACCTCTCTCAGGGATATTCCCTGTACATAATTAGGTTACCATTCGCAGCGGTCTGTTATGGCATTTGGCTTTGAAAATATGGAAATATACTAAGGATTCTGTATTAAAAAGCAAGGTAAGAGTTGTTTGGGAGCCGTTGGAGGCTTTTCACTGGAAGAAAACTTTCTGGGAGAGACATACTCCCACGCCTCTCGGAATAACTCTCACAGTTCTACTTTAAGAAAGCCTTGTAGACTCTCTGTTATGTATAGCTTGCTTCTAATGACTTCTCAAGCTAATCTTTTCTCCGTTCCTTCTGTAACCAGAATTAATACCAATATGAACTCTAACATGAACCTTCCTACTGCTTGTGTTTATGGGACTCAGAAGTCCTTGATGTTAGAAAAGCTACCTGCGATACTCTGCTTAGGAGCCCCTGAAAATGTTTCAAATTTTTCAACCAATCCTTCAGAAGTAGAACTATTAAAGGATACAGTGACTTGTCGAAGCCAATCAAATATTAGCGTTTCTCGGTTACTCGAACAAAATCGTGCGGCATCGAGAACTTTTTCAAAAGCAGAAAGTCAGGTGATGCAAACAAAACTTCATGGTGAAAAACACTCCGTGTCTGCAGTGCATGATGTTTCTTCTAATCCTGTTGCGGCAATTCCAGGAGATTTTGCATTACCTTCTGTCTCCAGAAGCGTTTTTGAAGGCCATAAACTTGTCGAAAAGTATACACGTGCTCCTGTGAGGAAGTGTTTAAAGGCCTCAAAGGAATGCTCCAACTGTCACCAGACGCATTCTCCTAATTGGTATTTATCAAAGGAAAAATTGCCGTTGTGCAATGCTTGTGCAAAGTATCAGAAGCGCACAGGATTGCCTAGACCTCCACAACATTGGAACAAGGAAGTTAGATTTCGAAGGAAGAAGATTGTTTGTAGGCAACATATGGCTCTGGAAACGTGCAAGTTGGAGAACATTTCCCGTATGGATATGGATAGAATGGAATGCAATGATCGCTTTTCACAAACATCAATGAGGAATTTAACGATTGCAAAGCGGAGAAGAAGGGAAGACTCGAGTGAAATAAGTAGTCTATGGAGAGGAAAGGAGACATTAGGCTTTGATTTGGAGAACGAGAATAACGATATGTCTATGACTAGCAAACAAGTATCACCGAGACGTTCGAATCTTTTTGAAATGGAGCAGAACATGCGTCACTATCAAAACTTTGGGAGTTGGGATAAAATGACGTCCCTTCTGAATGTGGTTCAAATAGCCAAATATGAAGGTGACTTTGTTCTAACCTTGTGATTGGCAAGGTGAGGTCAAGTTGGATACGCTATGTAAAACCATTGGAAAAATAGCTATGGCGTTTCCTATGTACGACACTACTTTTCATCGGAGAATTAGAATGCAGTTTCCTTTGAATTTTTGCCTTTGCAAAACATTCATATGAAGTATTTTCGTTTTCATTTCGACACTAAATTATTGAGTTTGCTGGTCAAAATATTTGTGTTATATCTGCTTAAAGACGGCTTGTTATTAACGCAAAATGAAACACAAAGAAAAATAACAAAAGCAGGTCGAAAATTGAACAGCTTTATAGTTGCCTCTGATAGTTCCTTACTGACCACTTTCACCTATACGATATTCTCCTTTTCCTCTGCCAAAACCTCCTCGAAACTCGGGTCGGAAGTCACCTCTACCCGGTGCCAGTCTCTTTTCCTGACCCTCTTGTGGAAACGACGAAGGGCGAACACCTGGCGGTCTTGTTGGTTTCTTTAGAGTTTCCGGAACGATTTCCACTGGAAGATTCAAATAACGGCGCAAGTAATCAATTCCATTATCAGTAAGAATGTAGTAGAAATAACCCCAACTGAACTGTTCCTTCAAGTACCCACGGGAGGTAAGACTCTGACAAATCTTCATAACTTCAAGGTTGGGAACGTCAAGCTGCAGGTGCTTTTTAGCGTGTGTGTCCTTTTTTACCACTATTACTCCACTTGACAAGATAAACGAGTAAACTGCGTTACGGTTCTTCTTAGGTATCAACATGACTCCAATTCTAATTCGACGCCGTCGAATTCAATTCGCATTTGTTGATAAAGGATATCCTTTACTTTTTCTTCTATAGCGACTGGGTCATTTCCTTGTAGCAGTCGCCTCATGAAGTACTCTAAAGTTGTATCGTCTTCAAGAAGGAAACAGAGGAAAGCATACTTTCAGGCACCCTCGTCTGTAAGGAGAATACTGATGAGTGCTCCTCTATCCAAAGAACTCCGTACGAAATATAACGTGTGTTGCTCGTCAGACTGCACTGGTTGTTTCTAAGCTGTTTTTTCCTAGGTTCGTTCGTTGCCTATTCGAAAAGAAGACGAAGTTATTATTGTTCGTGGAGCGTACAAGGGAAGAGAAGGAAAAGTTACCACCTGCTATCGAAAGAAATATAGAATACACGTGGAAAGAGTAACAAGAGAAAAGGCAAATGGTAGGAGTTTCCCCCAGATCCTCGTATTATCATGGTAAATAACTAGTTTATTCAGGAATGACAGTTCCAGTGGGAATACATCCATCGAACGTCGTTATTTCGAAGTTAAAGTTGGATAAGGATAGGAAAGCTACGCTGGAACGCAAGAATCGGGATAGACTTATGGACAAAGGCAAAGGAAAGTTTACAGAAGCAGAAGTGTCTGCAATGGCAGATGTTGACTGAACGAATAAAATTCTCCCCTATTTCGTTTAAGAGAAGCAGTATTTTGGTTATTACAAACAAAAATGAATTTCTCTCTTATCTGCTGCCGTACAGTTGTTGTATTACATTTCTGACGACTGTTATGAAGGATATCCCAAAACTACAATTGCCACAGCGCAAATAAGCAAGACTCCTACCACATCTGTAGCAGTTGCCAGGGCTGGACTAGCACAATATGCAGGGTCAGCACCACATTGTTCTAATAGCAAAGGAGTCACTGCTCCAGCCACAATTGAAGAAATCACTATGAGAAAAAGAGCAATAGATACAGTTAACGCAGCTTTGATATTATTTGGCACAGTAAATAAAACCCTAACGAAGCCAACAATGCTCAAAATGCTGGCCATGATAACTGCAATTCGAAACTCTCTTGAAACAACTCTTTCCAAACCAAATGATATTAATACAATCGACCAAGTTGAAAATATACTTACAAGTACGCATTTCTGCGATCAATTTCTCCAGTTGCTAAACCACGAATAACAATAGCCGAAGATTGGTTCCCTGCGTTGCCTCCTGTCCCTATAAGCATAGTAAGGAATAAGGCAATCACTACATGTCTTTCAATGAGGTCTTGGAAAAAGCCTAGAATAATGGAAGAGATGCTTTGAAACAGTAACAAAGCAACAAGCCAAGAGAGTCTTTCTCGAATAAGTGAAAATGAGGAAGTCTCAAAATAGGATTGGAACTTGACGTGTTGAGTTTTGTAAACATCTCAGAGGAAACTGAAACTTACGACATCCACTGAATTCAATCCACTGACCCGCATAAAATCTTCTGCAGCCTCAAATTCAACTTCACGAATAATATCCAAAGCATTGACTATTCCAAGAAAGTTTCCTTCACTGTCTACAACTGGCGCACAAAACACGCCAAAACTACGAACTTTTCTCGCAGCAATCTCCAAACTCGTGTCGTCCCGAAATACCACATCGCACTTCTTCATAAATACCTTGTAGACTCTTAGCGTACACGATACTCTGATGACAGTCTCAACGTAACCTACTGTTACATTTTGCTCCAGTTCCACAAAAAGTAATTCTTCAATAAGTATATAGCCCCGTAACTCCCCATTTTCTGCATCTAGCACAAATAGACGGTCCGTTGTCACTTGCTTTGGACAGCCATCTACTGAACTTTCAACTCTTGTTTTCTGCTTGTGTTGACGAAGAGCTTCAATGCAGTCCCCTGCTGTAGACATAGAGGAAACTGCGCAAACAGCTTTACAGCATTTGCACAAGCTTCCTAGGGTTTGGTCTTCAGATTTGACAGCATGCCAACACTTTCCAGTTTCTGAATGTTTTGATGCATGGCGTGTAACAAGTTTTACGCTGATATCTCTCTCTGCTGTAGCTATGAAGGTCGGGTTTCTGTTCTGTACTTTTACAGGCAGTAACTCTTTTTCAAATGAAACTCTTCTGCTTTGTCTTACAAGGTTATCCGTTGTCATTTGTTAAACAGATAACTCCACTTGACGCTCACGGCATGGAATAAATAATTCCAAGAGTTGAATCTCTCGCATCTTTGAAATATTTATTCACCGTCTTTCGTTTATTCTTTCCATAATTGTTCGGAACTTACAAAGTCTGCGACTGGAGAAATTCTAAGATACTCTCTACATTTCTTCTCCAACCAGTATACACAATAGGAGTTCGTTTTTGGGACAGAGGAAATAAGAGGATCGTCGGGAAGCCCTTTATCTGAAAACTTTCTGCTATTTCACTATACTTCCAGGCATCTATGGCTGCTAAAACGATATTTGTGTCGTTTTCTAGCAACTTGGAAAGCTGAATAAAGTTGGGGACAAATTGCTGACAGTGAGGGCACCAAGGAGCATAGAAGTTAACCAATACACTTTTGTCAATATCAAATATGAAAGATGTAAAATTGGAAGCGGTAAGTGGAACAACGTTACTTCCTTCCCACGATATTTCAACTCCTTCTCCCAAAATTGTGAGTTTTTTGAATATCCAAATGGCTGTGCCAAAGAGACAAACAAACAGTAAAGTTGTCAGACCCAAACGAAATAGTCTCCCTAACAGACTCTTCTTGAACTTATTTACTTTTACGAAGTGTTGTAACACTTGATAGCTTCTTCCACTTTCCACATCCATGTATGAATTCACAAACTTGTGGGTAAATGAAACAGTCTAGAAAGGATAAGAATATCTACTATTTTCAGTCTCCATCCATTGATTTCGTGGTATTTACAAGTCCTGCAATTACAAGACACTTCTACTCGGGCCCTTACACATGCAGAAGCAACACAAATGTCTGTCTCTTGAATAATTAAAGAATAGCCACGGTCTATCCTCCTATTTGGAACTCAGCAACTTCCAATTTACTAAAGAAAACCAAAAAGAAAGAGTTGCTCATTTCATAGTATGGATACTTCTACAATTTTATTCTAGTTTCACTGCATTTGAGGGCAACTCATGTCAATAGGGTCGTAATAGGTTTTAGGAACTCGAGCAACCTTTCACATATAACCACGTTTAGCTCCTTGAATGTTCATCCCAAATAGAAAAAAAATCATGAGAACAGTATGAGAGATAAACTAGTTGGTCTTGAAATGTCATTGGATCAAGATCGTTTCCATGGCAAACATTAGAAGGTGAAAAAGTTTGTGTTCTATTTCGATATGTTCAAGTCAAAGGAATGAAAAGTATTCCTTCTTTTATGAAATTGAAACACGATATCGTAGCAAAAATTATTCAAACTCTTCAGAAATGAGAGTTCAGACATTGCGTATTCTTACTAAAATTTGATATTTGCGTCTGTTACCAGAGTTTTATGGAGGACGACGACTTCTTATCATCTTCACGTCTGCAAAACCTGTTATTACAGCTTTTTAAACAGTTTGGTGATTTCTGTCGTCTTTTAGCCAGTGCAACTGAAGAAAGAGAGGAAGATCTAGAAAAGATTCTGGAGAACATTCTTTCAGAACTGAGCCAAGTTAAGCAGAGTTTTCACCAACATATTGAGAAGTTAAAGCCCGTCACTGCAGTTGAAAGGAATGCTCAACTGAGTCAGATGCGTTTGATGCTTTTGGAAAGTCGAATAGCTCGTATTAGGGAGGAGTTACAAAACATAATCAGAAATCAGGAGAGAGAAGAGCGAAGCTGAACGGTTTCTTGTGAATATGAGGGCGAGACTGTTCAGTCCATAGCAGTTGGACACTAGGTGATCTTCTGTATATGGATTAGTTATCTCATAGTGACAAAAAGGAGGGGAAGAACAACTATTGTTGTACAAAAAGTGTGGCTTAGTGCTTTTGACTAACACAGTCAATATACACAAACTTTATTCCAGAAGCTATGCGCTAGTATTTAGTATTTCGAAACGCTTCCTTGCAGAGAAATTTCACTCATGTCGAACTGGTTCGGTTGTCCAACGTCCACCCACATATCTATTGATAAACCTATAGAAAGTTAGTTTGTCTGTAACTCAAATGCAGTAAGTGACGTACTGCTCGGGCAGAGGAAACTCAACTGGATCTTCCTCTTCATTCGTGACAGTGACATTAATAGATGAAGATTTTGCCGTGACAACCTAAAAGATGTGAATTTCTAGGCTTTAATATGCAGTTACATACTTCGCTTACCTGTGTTTCTGAAACAATATTGGATGGAATAAAGATGTTAGCACCATCAGTCTTGTCAATCGCTACACTAGGGGCTTGCTTCTCAACCTGGAGCTGAACCGAATTACAGTTCACAACAGTGCAAGTGCTCAAAGCACTTTCGAATACAACTCCACACTTATTGCAACTATCAATAGTGATAGAGTTGCATTTACCGATCACCTTAACCACGCTGTCGATACAACGATAGATGTAAACCGAGTGTTTCTTGTCTGCAACTTCGACTTGAATATTGTAGTTGGAATTTTGATATTCGATGTTCCAAGTCTTGCCATCCTTTAAATAACATTTCGGTTCTCCAGAAGGTTGTGAAGTCTTTGAGACAGCTTTTGGTTTGCTTGTGACTTTAGCTTGTGTTGAGTCTTTCGATTCTTGTGAAGCTTCATCTTGCTGTTTCTCTGGTTTTGACACTCTCTTTAAATTTTTGGTAATATCGGTTCCTGCTGCGTTGATAGCTGCAAACAAAGCAGAATGCGTAGAAGACTCCGAAGACTCTTGACCTGCACTTGCCTTTGTCAACGGTGGAGGAGGAGGTCCTGGAGGAGGTGGAGCGCCAACGTTCAAACTTTTTTGAGGCGATGCAGCCTTTTTGGAAGCGTTCATACTTTCCTCGTTGTCTTCCATAGACGATAATTTAGCTCTTTCAAGTGCAGATTCTATTCGCTTGGTAACCTCTTCCAGGCGTCCAATTGTAAAAGCCATTTCTTAAATTAGTAATAGTTGTAGTTGATAGTTTTTAAATTGGCGCTTCTTTCGTGTCTACTCCCATCGCACCCTCATCCGATTTCTCCTGAATGAATTACTTCGTGTCCTCCTCCTTTCGCTTCCTTTGTACCAAATTAAGGATATTTGTTTCTTTGAGACTCAAGGCAACATTCACTTTTCAAATAGACTGTTTGATAGATAAAAAGACATTTTGCTGCTTAGTTTTCTTCAAAGAATGTCATTGATAGAAAACTTCCTGCTATGTGATCGAATAATGCAATAGGAAAACTCTGAGGCTTGTGCGAATGGCATTCTTCATCAATCTTCAAGCTCGTTTTCATGTCCGTAGCATTCTAGCATGACTTTGCTAGCTCTGACGTAAATATACATAAATTGTTTCACACCTTTTCTGATATGAGATAAGAGAAACAAATAAGACTATCAATAGTCACTCCTATCGAAAACTCTGATGACGTTCGAAGACCTATTTTATGTGGTTATACACGGGCACATGAAAGGCAGAATACAAAAAGTATTTGTCTTCATTTTGGCTCATGAGCCACATAATCTATATTCGAAGTACGAAAAGAATAAAGATGGAATTTTTTTAAATGAACAGCCAATTATTTATTTCAAAGTGCAACTCAAACTAAATAAAACAGTGAAATTCTCCTGTCATGTCAACAACAACAGGTCATAGAATATCGCTCGAGTTATTTATGGAGTCGTACATGAAGGAAACAGTAAAAGATAGGAGCACAACCCCTCCTTATCGACCACAGAGATGGAATTCACATTTATTTGAAATGCAACAGCCGTTTGAATAATCATTAGCAAATAACGATTCTTTTCGGTGTGAATACTAGGATATGAAAGAACGCATCAGTGTTCCGAGACACAAAATTCTTGAAAAAAATTCATCATGTGATATATCGTTTGGTTAAGAGTATACAGATGTTTCTAAACTACTAGAGTAGTTGAAGTTACCATCACCTATTTCAAATGATTAATAAATCAATATGAGTCTGTTTTGATATTCCTACTATTCACTTTACAGCTATCATGAGATACTTTTTGTTCGAAAACATCTTCAGCCCTCTAAGATTTTGAAATCCTAAGGGGCTTGACGAAATGGCAGCTGCACCGTCGACAGAAGACCTGAGAAGTGTAAGACTCGTCTTTGAACCCAAGGACAATGCAGCTTTTGAGCCCTTGAATAACTTGGAGCTTTTCGTTCCTGACACTTTTGGGCGCAAAAGTATCAGGAAAACTATTAGTCAACTATCTAAAGACGGTCCAGTGGACCTTCTTGACTTTGCAGTAGAAGGAATATTATTGCGCACAACTCTAGGCAAGTTTTGTGAGAAATATGGAAAATCGCGGGAAGCCGTTTTGGAAATTTTGTGCTTTCAGCGAGAGTCAGCGCCTACTGAAGTTTCTTCCAACAGTCAAAGTCATTGGCTTTCTTGCTTATATTGCTTCCATCTTTCAGAATCTACAAAAGTAGTCGCTGGAGCTGCAGAAGGGTTTTTACATGGTTGGAGTTGGAGTCATAGCCAATTTTCTGCAGAGTGGGAGATGCCTGCTTTCAAAGACGCGAAGCAATCGACAGTCATTGGCGTTGATTGGCTTCCTGCTAAACAGAAGTTAGTTTCCTGTTTACAATCTGGATTTTTGGTTCTCAGTAGTCTTGAAGGCAACGAGAACATTTCTTTAAGTTTGAATCAACCTGGATCTACCAAGAAGAATTCCATCGAAAGTGTTTTGTTCTATGGCAACACAGGAGACAAGTATGATTCCATATTTCTGGGTGCTTTTGATGGATCCATTTTAAGAGTTCAGAAACACGACATAGAGCTGTATTCTGACCTTATTAGTCCGGATAAGGACCTTTATTGTCTCAAAACGGAAGAAACTTTGCCTGGTCATTCACAGAGAGTCTCTTCCGTCATTTCGTTAGATATGAATTTTCTGTTGAGTAGTTCTTGGGATGGGACTGTGAAGATATGGGATCTCGATAGATGTTGTTTGACTTCTTCCACAAATGTTGGAAGACCTATCAATTCTTCCACAAAAAGTTTGAATCAGGATTACCTTGTCGCTGGAAACATGGATGGTTCATTTACGCTTCTTGATTGTCGTCAGGAGAAACCTGCTCTTCGAAAGAAATTCGCGCATTCATTGGCGACTACTGCAGTGACTTCTTCACCTTTAAAGAACCATTTCTTTTGCACAGCTGGCCGTGACAATAAGATAAAAGTTTGGGATAGTAGAGCTCTTAGTACGCCATTCTACGAAAGTGGTAGAAAGGGAAAGCAAGGGAATACTTATTTCACATGTTTGTTTTGGGACAGTGAGAAGAATTTGCTGTTGGCTGGAAAAAGTGATGGAGAGTTGTCTTGCTTATTGTTTGAAGATGGAAAAATGAAGTTGAGCTAAGAGGCCTTTACAAGAATTGCTCAAGAGAGAAAAATTATGTAGTCCTTCTATCTTTTATACTGTTCAGCTAATCTAAGAAGAGTTTTTTAATTAATAGGCTTAATTTCAATAAACGCTTGTAAACGTATGTAAAAGGAGGTAGTCCATAAGAAATGAGACCACTTTGCTTATTCGTATCAGTATTGTTTCTACTCTTAAGACTTTAGCCTGTCCTGATGTTTGTAGATACCAGTGTCTGTGGGCCTTTGGCATTAATAGTAAAGACATTCTCCATATAAGCCGATACAATCTTTTAGCGTGGGCCTTTCAAAGACCAGAACAAGGATTAAGATTCTTTCCACATCGAAAATTCTAATTGAATTCCACTGCAAATCTAGAAAATTTGCTTGAGCAAAAGAGTTGTGGTTCAACTGCGTCATCATGAAGATCAAGAGCTTGCTTTGTGTCCTATTTTATTCATTGTTGATATTTTCGTTTTTTGAACCATGTTTTGCAAACTTTATTAGTTCCAGCGAAGGCTTACGTCGACTTGAAGTTAAACGTGTTGCAAACAGTTTTGAGACCCTTGTTTCTAAGGACAGGCATCGTTGGTCTTCCAGAACGAAAGCTCTTTCGTGGAAAGCATTGCAAGAATATGGAAAGGATTTGCAGGCAGAGAAGCAAGAATTATCACCTCTGGCAAATTCGAGATATAAAGAAATGTCTCTCCATGGAAATGTGATACCAGGTAAGGAACAACGTCCATGCTCCAACTCGTAACAAACTCCAGCCTTATAGATGGTGGATACTATGTTGATTTAGAAATTGGTGGACAAAAAACTGCTGCTCAAATTGATACTGGAAGCTCCAACTTGATAATACCCATCCGCGGTTGTAAAGGTTGTAGTTCTGAGGGTATGATTGACATAAGTCAGAGCCCTTCAGGATTCGTCATACCCTGCAATTCATCTTCTTGCAACTCAAAGACTTGTAGTTCTCAACTTTGTATCACCGAAAGCTGTTCGAAGACAAATAATGCCTGTTGTTACGAGGCACTCGGTGTATCAGGCTGTTTCTTTTTGATAGTTTATGGCACCGGGGCAGCTGCTGGAGTCTACTTTAACGATACTGTGCAGATAGCTGGGTTCTCAACCAGAGCAACTATTGGTGGAATATTACGTAATGTATCAGGTGAATACAGCCTTTGAATTGTTTCTACTATGACTTACTGTGGAAAGATTATCCCGTTGGAAAGGCAACTGGTGTAATAGGTATGGCGTTTAAAGGTGCAAGTTGCAATCCTTCTTGTGCCACGCCGCTTTTTGAAGACCTTGTTCGAACGAATAACCTTTCTGATATATTCTCAATCCGGCTGGGAAACGAAGGTGGATCTCTCACATTAGGCGGTATAGACCATAGTTTATATAGTGGTGATATTCATTATATTCCTCTAAGACATGGGTATGTCAACTTTTGGAACTAGCTACAAATTCTAACGAACAAAATTAGAGCGAACTCTTTATTGTATGACTTGGTAAGCATAGAAAATTGCACCGAAGTGAGAATTAAAATTTTTCCAAGAGTTGTAAAGGTATTAAAATAGGCAATAGTAGCTTGATATCAACTAGCTCTGGAGCTGTTGTTGATTCAGGCACAACGACTCTCGTATTTGATTCAAAATATTTTGAAGACGTGAAAAAGTATTTTCAGTCTAATCTGTGTGACATTCCGCTAGTCTGTTCGAATAGTTCGGTATCTGAAACCATCTTCACTGGAGGCGGAGTAAGTATTGTATTTGGAATGAAAGCGACAGGCTAACGCCATTTCCAGGGTGTTTGTGGTTTTTTCTCTTCTAGCGACATTGAAAAATTTCCTACAATAACTATCGAGATAACATCCAATTTTCATATCAGTCTTGAACCAAAAGACTACATGCTGCAAGTTCCTCTCAGTGATATTGAAAGTAATGGTAATACAACCATTCCTGAGAAGTCAAGAACAAGTTCTTCTGGTGATAATGCGTATTGTTTTACCATTTTGGAATTCCCAGGTTTGGAGTCCTCTGAAGGCTATAGTATGATTTTGGGAGACACCGTGTTAAAAAACTATTACGTTGTTTTTAACCGCGAAAATTACAGTGTTGGATTTGCTAGTTTATCATGAAAATATTTCCATCTTCTCAGGATAGCAATAAAGTGTCATGTGCATTTCTAAAAAGTTCTTATTTTATGTCACTTTCAATTCGATGAAACAGTGTCACAAGCTCCACATGCTATGTTTCGTTAATTCTGACCAATATTCTCTAAGAGAACAACATACCTCCGTGTACGGAAACATATCGACTCCTACTGCCTTTATAGGCTTGAAAGGCTCTCCTCGAAAAGCATTTGATTTCGGGCGACACAAACCCACCGCATTCCCAACGAGATTCGCGGGATTGCAAGAAATATAGATAAGGCGCTTTATCTGTACTACATTTCTTAATGTCTTGATAACCTAAACATAATGTCACCAAATCAACATGTAAACCTAAGAATACAGACTGAAGGATGTAGTCCAGCTCTTGGAGGATCTGCAATGGCAACAATTTGGGAAGACCGACACAACTGAATTGCTGTTTTTAACTAAAGCCAGTCACAATATGTTTACATGTTATGAAACTATTCATCCCACCTTATCTTCTACTTTTCCAACCAATACCGTCATATTTTGGATATTATTCATTTCCATGTTGACCTTTGCATCATTAACTGCTTCTTCAACCAATTCAATACCGATCACCTGAGCAACTTTGGATGCAAGGCACATTCCGATAGTTCCCGTCCCACAGCAAAGATCGAGAACCTTGTTGAGCGATAAACTTCCAATTAAATTTGCCAATCGTAATTACCGTTGAATGGCTAGTCAATTCTCCCCATTCCATTATAACATTAAGTAACCTCTCAGCTGCGAATGTATTGGTCTGAAAGAAAGACAGCGAACCGATACGAAATGTCAAATTCATTAATTGTTCATGAAAATAGGGTTGACCAAAAATCGTGATTGGACATTTATCCGTTGGAACGAAGTTGCTAATTCCATTGTGTTCCTATAAAAAAATCTCATGTAATGGTTGCCTAACGAATCAATCCTACGGAACAACTACCTGCAACACTATACCGTGTACTTCTAAATTGATACTTTGACTAGACGAAAGCAGAAACTCAACTATCCGGCTAGTTTCCTTATGAATGATGTTTCTGTCAAAGCCCTCTGTTTGAACCTGTATTAACACTAAAATCTCCTTCGTACGGAAGCCTTCTCGTACTGTAGCCTAAAAGAAATGTCTATAAATGCCAAACGGACACATTTGTACACGCACCTGTCTCCAAAAACCTTTATGAGTGCGTTTATCATACGCAGGAAGTTGGCTGCTTCTTATGAAAACTTCCAGGATATTGGCAATTGCAATAGCTTTCTTTGAGGTTGTTACGCACTCTTCATTTACAGAGGCAACCCCTACCTTTCTAGTTTCAATGAGATGAAAAGTGGAGATACGAAAGTTTTGAATACCTCTCCCTCTCGAAACAAACCAAGAGCAAAACCAACTGTTTCGATGGATAAGCCATCGTCTTTGTAGCTGAAGCCAATAGTAAACTCGTTCTTATTCCGGTAAAACAACCTGGCACCTTCTTCTTCTGGCATATCTATTACGCTCTCAAGTGTACAACAGGGCCTCTTCTGTAGGCTCTTCAACCAAGTTAACGAGCCAGATCCCTACTTTATTTAAAACACCAAGTCACAATTTTGATGCGATACTTACGGCCTGAGACTTTAGAGAAGACGTAATTCTGGCGAGAACTGCAAGAATAGCACTTCTTTTCCGTCGAATCTGTTCAGGATAACTGTAGTGGCGCCACGGTGCCACGACATCAGCAACTGCCTTTTTTGAATCACTTTCGGGATCCTCCTTGGTTAGTGAGCAATTGGCTTGCTTTATTCTCTCGTCAATTCTTTGTAAATATTCCGTGTGTTTACGCTTCTTGTTGACGTTGCGTGCTGGTTCCAACTCAAACTGGAAACCTTTGATTTTTTGGCGTTCAAAAACAACTTTTGCTTGATTTGCCTCTTCTTCTGAAGAAAACAAGATGAAACTGTAGTTCCAACCGTGTAACTTCTTCAGGGAATCGAACTTGATCTCTACTCTTTCTAGAGCTTTCGATAAGTCCCTTAAACGCAACCAGTTAGTAGAAACTAAACGTTTGAGTTCTGATCCAGTGTCTCACTTCTTATTCAGCCAAGTCGGAACGTTACGAATTACGTATTCCATAAGTGTTGAATCCAACACGGTCCATCATACTTGAAATCTTTCACAATTTGACATAAAGATTTTTTATTCAAATCCACACAACACTACTGCACAACCAAAAACAACTGAAGAAACACTAAGAACAGTACATTACACTCACTCAATTACAGCTTGATATCCGGTGGGATCAGCAAAGAGTCCATTTCATATATGACAGACTTGTCTGCTGTGATATTTGGTGTCACCACCATTATACCATTAACAAATATTCCTAAATATCGTCAACAACTTCTTATAGATAGAAAACAGAGTAATGTTCTAACCTGTTGTGTTCTTAACCACTGTCAGATTCATACCATTAACAGCAGTAAGGATAGTTGTTCCTGTCTTAATATCATCAGATAGAAGAGTATGGTTGTACAATGTGTATTCAATGATATCTTTGCTCTCAGTCGAGTTCGAAGTTATATTAGACACAACCAAATGTTTCGGTGCCAGAGTAGCATTTACTCCAGTATTGTTTGCTGCAAATACAGTCCATGTAACAGCTGAATCATTGAATTTCGAGTCCAGACCTGCGGCCTTCACAATATTGAGATACTCCATATATTTCAGAGACTCCAAAGTCTCATATACTGTTGATGCCTGGACATTTGAGACAGCATTTACCAAAATGATTGCAAAAACAAAAACAGGCAATGATTTCCTCATCATACTACTTCTCTAAAAAAACACTTTTTGGAATGTGCCCAGGTTCTTTTAAATTTTTTTCAGCTCATTGCTTCCACGGCTCAAATGAGCCGAATCGGCATCCATTTTGTTTCTCTGGAATGGAGATGTGACGTTCGATAAACGAAGCGCTAGAATCTGAAATTTCTAGATAACGCTCAGATAATTTCGTCTTTTCTAGAATCTGTTAAAGAACATTGTTTTCTTGACGTTGGGAATGACTGAAATTTGCCAACTTTGGTATATTTTCTCTTTCCTTTCGTACATAAAAAGAAAAATGCCCATGACCAATTCCGCCAAAATAAAATAAAGTGTTTCATTTTTAGTTTTATAAAAAATTTTGCATTGTCAAAATAACATGACTGACCAAACTTCGAATTCGAAAGAACTTCAAGCTGTTCCTACAGATTTCCAGGAATTAGATGACCTCTTCTCTGAAACGGAACAAGAAAACATAGTAGAAAACCGTACATTCCTGGCCTTCTTTCCTTCCGAAAAAAGTGGGTTTGCTAGATATTCTTGTGCTGACAACGAAATCTCTTGTGGAACGCAAGTATAATATAGACAGTTTCAGATATGGAACTATGTATAACCCTCCATTGTTATAGGTTCCACGAAGATGATTCCAAGGATAATTATTATCTTTTCTCGCTTCTCATACAAATGGAGGCAGATGTAGTGATAATTCCATCGAATACAAACGAAAAACTGAAGAGTTTGCTTATGAATTTTGGGCTTGCAGAACTTAGTGATAAGTCTGATATCTCACAAAAACCATACAGCGATCTTTTGGAAATTGCAAAACCATTCAAACTAGAATTTTTGAGCTATTCCTTTTTCTCGACTAAGCAAGCTCTTTCAACATTTGAGCAAGTCGTCATACTTGGAATTCCACAGGAAGCGAGTAAAGAAGCCAAAATGGCACAGCTGGGTCTATTGGATCAGAATCTCCCTTCATCTATATTAGCAGCTTTGGCTGGTCTATTTTCATACATTCAGAAAGCCGGTGTGGTATACACGTACAAAGGTTTGTATTTCAAATCCTTTCGATAGGCGAATGGCTAAAATGTTGCGCTTAATTCATACTTGCTATCAAAATAGGCCTTTTGAACATCAACAGCATAAACATTGTTTCTCTTAACGACATGCTAAAGATCGACTATTCTTCCTTGATGGCATTTCAAATTTTGAAATCGGAAATACATCCTAAAATGATGGGTGATGGTCATTCTAAGGAAGGACTTTCTGTTTTTAACATCATGGATAGAACTAGTTCATTCCAAGGTAGGCAACTGTTGAAAACTTGGTTGCTGCAGCCTTGCAAGAACTTGAATATCATTCAGTTTCGACAAAGAGTCGTATCTTGGTTAGTGAATAATTGCAACATGGAGCTATTGAGAGAAATCTCCAATCATCTCCGTGGTATTCGCAACGTGCCTAAAATCACTTCCAGGTATTTACAGTTTAGAAAATGTCTTTTTTATACACTTATCAAATACCTGGAAGAATAAGCAATTATGCTGCTTCCATTGTGGACTGGAGCAATTTGAGGACATCAACGAGAAGCATTATATGGCTATTCGATTTTGTTAGAAATACTCATCTTGCCAAAGAAAGTGTTATTCTGGAGGTTGAGTTTTCAAATATGGATATAGGAAAGTTGCTCAATTTTCAACAGGTTCTCAGCATATTTTACAATGATGCAGTATTCGATGATCTACGAAATATACTGTCATGGATCGAAAGAGTTCTAAACTTCAAGGAAAGCAAATTACAGGGCAGAATTTATGTCAATGATGGATACTGCGAAGATTTAGATAATGCTAGGTGCTTTTACTATTCTTTGGAGGAACATCTCACGGAAGTGGGATCGAATGAAATAGAAAGGTAAACAAGGTTCATGAAGCTCTTTTATTTTGAAAAATATCTTCAGGTTGGATGCCCTAGGAGTACATATCCCATGGATTAAAGTCACGTACATACCAAGACTTGGTTATCTTCTTGCAACCGGAAAGGAAGACAACGAGAGCCGTGGTGACACTATTGGTAGCCTGGACTTGACTGTTCAGAGCTACGCAAAAGACTTGGAACTTGCATTTTCGACTTCCGATACTGTTTATTATAAAACGTCAACGATGCGTGAATTGGATGAAAAACTGGGAGACATCTTCGACACAATACTTGTAAGATTCTACTTTCATTATGCAGTTCTTATACAACCTGAATTTTGTTGTATAGGAACTTGAGAACGAGTGTCTACATGTACTAGAGCAACAAGTCATTCCTTTACTGCCAATGCTTTATAAATGCTCTAAGCAAACTGCGCAATTTGACTGCTTCATTTCTATGGCTTTAACAGCAATACAATATCAGTGGGTAAGAAAAAGCATTAGCAAGGCTATATTTTGCTTCCTAAGAAATCCGTTACAGTGCGAACCATCAGTGACAAAGAACCGAGGTTACGTTATCAAGTCCGGGAGACATCCTCTGTATGAACTTAACTCGAAAGTAGAATTTGTAGCAAACGATACTGCTGCAACTATGAATAGCTTATACATCGTAACAGGTCCCAACTATAGTGGCAAGAGTGTCTATTTAAAACAGGTATCGTCGCAAAGAGTTCATCGACTTCAATTTTTATAACTTTGACAGATAGCGCTCATTGTATACCTTGCACACATTGGTTCCTTCGTACCTGCTAAAGAAGCACAAATAGCCTTGACGGACCAGATACAGACGCGAATTCAGACAGAAGATAGTATTTCTCTTCATTTATCATCATTCTTTCTCGATTGTACTCAAGTTGCCATGATGCTGCGAACTAGTACAAACCAGTCGTTGTTAGTCATCGATGAATTTGGCAAAGGAACAATGGCAAGCAATGGAATGGCACTGCTATCTGCTACTCTACTCACGTTGTTAGAAATGAAAGATAAAGTACGTGCTCTGGAGAAAATCAAGTTTTGTTAACATTCTTAAACCGAATAATAGATGCCAACAGTTTTCTGTGCTACTCATATGTATGACATACTTACAAATGGAATCATTTCAAAAAGCAACGAACAAGTTAGCATAATGTCGATGGAGTGCATATTTGAAAGAGATACCCATCTAGAAAGGTAAGTTGAAATTCTTGTTAGAAATCGAGGACCTCAAGGAAACGGAAGGGAACTGATTCCATTATACCGAGTTGTTCCTGGTTTATTATCAACTGAATCGTACGCTGTACACTGCGCTGCAAAATCAGGAATTCCAATGTACGTTTTGCAACGCGCAATCGAAGTTCAGACTTGTCTGCAAAAAAACGAAACGCTGGAATTGCGTAATGAAAAATACCAAAAGAAAGTATCCACAGTTCATCGAATAGTGCAAGAATTTCTCGAGACTGATTTTACGTCAGCTTCACTGACTGAAGAAGACTGGTTTCCTACATGGGACCTATAACTACATTAATACACGGACAGAAGCTGACCAGTCACTCAAAAACCCTCAAAACCATGGCTTCACTTGCAATGATTAGTTTTGCGTTTCATTTTCCTTCTCAAGAGATTCTTCCCTCGCCAGAAGTTTTCCAATTTCGACTACGAAACAGTGAAGTTCCTTAAAGAAGTCACAAGTTGTCAGAGATTCTGCTTCGAATTTAGAATATCCAAACATGAGCGCTAGACGTTGAAATTCGTTTGTGCGTTTCTTCAGAAGCTCTTCAAGCTTGTTTAAAATTTTCTCAGCGTAGCCTTCAAAATTCTCAAGATATTTCAACAGTTTTCTTGTACTTGCATTATCACATTCCAAACAACGCACTGCGTCTGATAAGTCCTTCAATTCCGTTCGCAATCCATACAAGCTTTCAGCCACCTCTGACAATGATATCTGTAGTAATTGTGATCTTTGAACTTCAGGATAAGCAAATCACACTCACCTTTGAAGCTTCACGCAAAATTTTAAGTTCAATGACGATAGCTCTAGACTCTGGTGCATCGTAGTAAGCAACGTGAGCAGCATATTGAAGAAATGTTGTCTCATTGTCGATGGCTTTCGTGTCTGACAACTTTGAAAGAATATCCAAGATGAAGCCGTCAGCTTGTCCACGAATTGTACCACCGTTCATATAATTTCCCAGAGATAATATCACACCCAAGATTGCTTTTAATGCTTTACTCGTCTCAACAGCCTAAAGACGATTGATACATTTGATACTATCGCACAACACTTTAACAAACCTCGACTGCCTTGTGAATAATATTCAATGGTCGAAGAATATTTTCACCTCTTTCATCAAATTCCCTTTTAAACAAAAGAACTTTGGTTCTTATCTGCAATAGTGGAATCTGTGCGAGTTTATAGAGGAACTCTTCAGTATGGGTAAGAAATGCACCGGTATCCTTTGCCTTTTTCAATAAAGACTGTTCCTCTGTTGATGGAAAAATTTTCAGAAGAGAGTTACAATCCTTGGCGGATAAGCAACCATCGTCCATTTCAATCAAAGCCTTTTGAATGATAGCCATCGATGGTAGACTAACTAACAAAACTCCAACCAAATGAGTTCTTCGTTCATCCAAAACACTCAAGGGCATCGTGCTATTTCTTTCACTCTAACTGTACAATCAGTTGCTGGAACTACTCAATTACAAAAAGAAATTACCTTTCCATCATGATTTTTGCCGCTATTAGGCATCAACGCTTTGGAGCTTGCAGGTTTCGAAAATAAATATTCAAATTCTTTGCTGTCAAAGGCTATCTCCACGACCGATCTCCAAAAAAGAACACTCGACTGCCTGCCAAGAGGATGGTAGAATTACTCTTCT